GGCACATCCCAGGGCAAGGCAGGCATGGCGTCCCTGGGCTGGTGCTAGCTGAAAGGAAATGTTCCTTTCTGGTGTGGCCCAGCCAGGGGGGCAGAGGCTGGCACTCAGACTGGACCTGGCTTCCCTTCCTCGGGGCTTCCAGCCCCTCCAGGTTCCCTGGGACACATTTCTCAGTGGGTCTCAACCTCTGACCTGGTCACTGTCTCCCTCACTCGTGTCCTTCCTCTCCACAGTGACCATGCACCAGCCACATGAAGCACCTGCCAGCCACCTGGCTATAGGTTCATGCTGGGGCAGCTCACCCTTCCCACAGGGGCTATGACTGACACCCCAAGAACTAGAGGGCCCTGCACACCCACGACATGGCCACCACTTCTTCGCTCAGCCTCTCATGTCCTGTTTTTCAACGCACCGCCTGGTTTGCTCTGATGGACAGTGCAGGTCGCCTCAGGTTCCAGCCACAGCACAAGGCCCAGGAAGGGCCTGGGACTCAGGCTGCAGCTCTGCCTCCTGCCCTGCAGAGCAGCCAGCCCTGGTGTCCCACGGTAGTGACAGCTCACGGCACCAACCCACACCCAAGGAGCCGCGAGTCCCACAGGGGACCGGGATCCAGAGCCCGGCCTTGGCCCATGTTGGCAGGGTGGGGACCTACCCCCTGCACAAAGCCCTCTTTACTAGGCAGGAGGATGCTCGCCATTGCCCGCCAGGCCCTGTGGGACCTGCCCTGCAGACACAATGGTCAGCTTGTACCTCCAGCTGCCCGATCGTCCCCACCCTACCTGGGTGCCAAGAAGGAGGTGAGCAAAGGGGAGCCAAGGGTCACCAAGCAGGCTCAGTGTCATTGGCAAGGCCCCAGCAAGAGCCCCAGTGCCCAGAGCAACTGTAAATGGCAAAGTTGTTCCCCAAAAATGACTGTGCCCAATCTTGGAGCAGTGATTATCACTTAAAGTGGCAGAGGGGAACTGAGGTTGCTGATCCCTGGCCCTCAGGGGGAGGATGGTGCTGGGGCAACCAGGCAGCCCCCTCAGGTAAGGACACAGATTCTGTCCTGAGCCTCCGGGGTGATGTGGCCCTGTGACACCTTGACCTTCACTAGTGGGAGCCCCGTCAACCTCTGACCTCCAGTGTGGCACAAGGCTGGGTCTGGGTGCCAGCCCCTGAGTTTGCGTCACCTGCTGAAGCAACAGGAACAGGAAACCATGAGCCCCAAGGGGAATGATTCTCAGCTGTGCACCCCACCCTGCAGTACCCTGAGCCTAGAGACCCCCACCCGACCCCCAGGAATATAGGGAGGGACCCACGCCAGGCCTCGATATGGCATGTCCTCTGTCTACAGGAAGTCACAGGTGGGCACAGGCACATTCCAGATGCAGGCCCAATCTAGCCCTGGGCGTACTGGGGTGCGGGGGGCCCTGTATGATGGGCGGCATGGGGGCTGCAGGGATGGGGAGACGTGGAAGGAGACTTTGAGGAGCCTGGATAAGGAACAGTGTCCCTGCTGAGATGAGCAAGGCTGCGAGTGGGAGGCTGTGACTGGGACCTCTGCCCCTGCACTCGGGGGGACAAGGGTGAATACGGACATGGACCCCCTCTGCCCTGGGGCTGCACGGGCCCCTAGTAGGAGCCCCAAGCGTAGCTAGCACTCCTGTTAAAGGCAGTGCTTTCTGAGGTAGCAGGATGTCAAGAGGTCTTGGGACGCAAGTGGGGGACATTAGAGGAGGGCCCATGGAGGTGAGGGGGGCACTCAGAGACCAGCCAGCAGGGACAGGCCAGCTGGAGGCACATGGCTGCCATAGGTTCCCCACCTCGCCACTTCCAGGGGAGGTGGTCACCTCTGAAGGCCACTCTTGGTGACCAGGATCCATGCCAGGGCCCTTGGGAGGGGCTGTCTTAGAACCAGCAAAGTACAGGCCAAACGCACTGGAAAATCTCACCCTGATCCCGCACCCTGAGGCCCTGGTGTCCTTGGAGCTGCCACCAGGGGAGGTGCTTCTGTCCCATAGCAACCCCGTGTCCCAGGCAGGCACAGGGCGTACCAAGGCCAACAGCAGCTGCCCGGCGCATTCCTGTGGTGGCAAACTGGAGAGCCACACACAGCACCTGGGTGACCACGTCATGGCTTGCTCATCCGTCACCCTCTCAAACACACAAACCACACGGTTGGGGCCAGGGTTCCCGGAAGGACAGGGCCACCTCTGTTCCAGCCCCCCAGCCCTGATTATGGAGTTGACACATGTGCCTCCTTGGGTTACCTTTTCGCCTCCCCTGCCTGTGTCTCTCCCTTCCTTCCGGGATGGGGGAGCCTTGCATAAGTCACTGGCTGGAGCAGCCTGGCTGCCGTGACCTCAGGGGTCCCCTCCTTGGGCAGCAGCTGGACCTGGAGCCAGATGGGGAAGGAGAAGGGACCTGCCCTTCCTCTGGGTTGGGACATGATAGCCCTGTCCCCATTCCTGTGGCCCAGACTGTGGCCCAAGTGTGCTGTTAGCCTCAAAGTCCTTGCATGTCACAAGGGTTCCTTGACTTCAGCTGGGGCTCTGTTCCAACTGGCTGGAGGGTGGGTTCCATGTCGGGTGCCAGCCCCCACCCCTGCGTGCCAGGAGAAGCCAGACAGGTGACTTCAGGATGTACCCACTAGAGGTCCAGGGAGCCAAGGGCCCCAGGACAGGGCTCACTGCAAGAGGGGAGCCCCCCCCCCGAGGTCTGGCTACAAATCTGGGGACCCTTGCTCTTGTACTGGCTCTGTTCCAACTCACCTCTCTGTGAAGGCAGCCAGTTAGAGAAGTCTGTGAAGACAGAAGAGCTCTTCCCTGCAAATCCCTGCCGTGGGTCAGATAGTGTTCCCACATTTAAACCCACCCCGACCTGTGAATGTGGCCCTATTTGGAAGAAGGGTCTAAGGTGACTCAGAGGAGCTCAGGGGGTAAGATTATCCTGGATCGGAGCAGCCCTTGGCCTAAAGGCTGGAGTCCTTGTGAGAGGAGAGGATGGCAGGCGCAGATGCGTACCGGAGCACCACTGCCACAGCAGCCAGAGGGCGCAGAATGGGCATACTCATGTGGGACAGCTGGCACCTTGGTCTTGTGATTCTGACCCCCAAAGAGATGGCAGAGGGCTGTGGTTGGAGCTGCCCAGTCTTCCCACAGCCACAGGACAAATGGAGTCGGGGACAGACTGACAGCAGCCTGGCAGAGTACAAAGTGTGTCCCCAGCACTTAACCACAGCTCTGCCCCACCCCCAGGGCCTCTGGTCCCAGAGGCTCCAACTCTGGCCTCCTGGGTTCTGGACATAGGGTCTGGACCCTGGGGGTTAGGGTGTGAGGTCCCTGACCTGTGTCCCTGCTGGGCCCGGGTGATCACCTGTTGGGGTGGGGAGGGGTTTCCAGGCTGTCCAGGGTGATCATTGCCAGGAGTTGGGGACCCCTATTAGCAACAGGCTCCTGGAGGGTGGTATGACCACAGTGGTCCCCCTGAGGTGCCTTCTCAGAGGAGGTCTTTGCAGGGGCAAGTATTCATTCTCTGTCCATGTGACGTGTGTTCCTGCCCTGAGCAGCAGGGGCCCATAGTGGGCCCGGGGGCTGACGTGGCCAGGGGAGGGTCATGCAGCTCCACTCAAGCCTGGCTCTGCACCCAGGAACAAATTCGGCTCAGGCCGCGTCTCCTTGGAGCGTCAGTGAAGGGAGGACAGAAGCCTGCTGTCATTGTCCTCTTCTGGCAGCTGCGTTCCTGCTCATTAAGGTCCTTTGAGGTCCTTTCATCTCAGTGAAATTGCAGGCTCCTGGCAAGGCCCTCAATTAGCTGGAGTCCTCCGGTGGCCCCAGGGTGGCCGGCTTGCTCTTCCGGACCCTCCGGGGGTCCAACGGGGGGAAAGACAATCCCAGCTTCTGCTCCCCACCTTGGGGACCTGACCCTAGGTGTGGGCATCCTGAAAACTGCTTTGAAAACAGCCTGGTGGGGAGAAGGCTCGGCAGCTGGCGGAACACGCAGCCTGGCTCTCCCCCGGGATGCCTCCTGGGCCCCCAAGTGCTGTGATGTCACCATGACTCTGCGCAGCTGCCAAGTGCCCGCCCGGCATGCAGGCCCCTCCTGCCAGCTCGGCACTGACGCAAATCAAAAGCCTGCAGCTCTTGGGTCAGTGGCCTCTGCCACTCAGCTGGCAGCCCGCGGTCTGCACAGGGAGGGCTTGGGCTGTGGAGCCGGCTGGCCTTTGAAATGATCAGCAGTGTGCTAGGGAGCGGCCAGTGCAGCCATGGAGGTCAAGGAGCCAGGCATGTTTGTAGCTCCCCTGTTCCCTGGGGAGTCACAGCTGCTGGCCAGCCCCCGCCTTGTCACCCTGTGCCTGGAGGGACTGGGCCCTTTGGTTCTAGTCACTGTTACTTGGTACTGAAGCATGCCTGAAGGCAGACTGAGTGGACAGACGAGCCAAGAGGCTGTGCTGTGCCCACTGCAGGCGTGTGAGGGGGACATGGGAGCGGATACGGCAGCCTCTGTGAGGGGATGAGCGGGAACCACCAAGCACAGCCTGGCTTCCTGGGCTTTGAGGGGCTGGTCTCACCTTTCGGAAGATCCTAGCAGCTATGCAAGCATACTGGAGGGTCCCCCACCCTGAGGAGCTTGGCTTGAGAGATGAGGGGCTGGGCTTGGAGAGTTGACGGGACACTGGCGGGTCCCTTCCAGGCACTGTGGGATGGAAGCCAGATGCTGCTAGCCTGTGGGAACCTTCTGCTCTCTCTGGAATATGCACACATGCACTCCGATATGCACATGCACATGTACATGTGCAGAGCACATCACATACGTGTGCACAAGGGCTTCATTCACACACACACAGCACATGTGATCCCAGTACGTGTACAAGCATATGTGTGCACACATAATACATGTCTATACATGTGACCCATGCATAAAGCACTCACACATATACATCCATGTGAACACAACATATATGTGTACAAATACACACACTCATACATGTGCACGCCCACAGAGATTTCACACATGCGTCTATCATATGTAAAACTGGATTCGAGCACCTCTTACACAACACAAGGGCAGGATCTCAATCCTCTGCCTGCATACTGTGGACACAATAGAGCAGGGTGTCTTAGAGCTGAGGAAAGTCATTGGGACAGCTGATATGTGATGGAGGACAAGACAGTGATACAAGGTCCCAAGAGAACCCACTGGGTACCTGGCCCATCACAGCAAACAGCCAGGAGACAGATGTGCCAGCTGAGACCAGGACATGGCATGCACAAAAAAATCTGTCCACTTGCACAGCCCCAGTGCAGCTGTGCTGTCAGAGCCAGGTGGGGTGGGAGGATCCTTCGGCCTGGACCTTTCAGCCTCTGTGAGTGGCCTGAGGGTGAGACCCCAGGGGTCCCTCCCTCTGAGGTGCAGCCTGCCCATTCCTGCCTCACTCCAGTGCTGGTCACCTTCAGATGGGTAGCTGGCCAGCAGGAAGGCCTCTGCCCCTGCTTCTGTCCTCTGTGGCGTTGTCCTGGCCTGGGCTTGAGATGTGACACTGCTGAATACCATACAGAGACCCCAGGGCCTGGCCATACAGCCTCCAACCCCTCAGAGACAGTCCTCCTGAGGCACCAGGATGTCCTGCAATGCAGGTGCTTTTCCAAGCAGGGCTGAGAGCTGGTGGGGTCCTAGGGGAAGGTCCAGCACAGGGCAACAGGGGCGGTGCGCTCAGAAGGAAAGTGCACCGCCCCCGTAGGGAGCAAACGGGCTGCGCTCTTGGCTGAGCTGGGCACAGCAGCTGGTATTTCTCAGCACAGACTGGGCTGCCTGCCCTGCCTCTTGGGCTGGGGTTGTCACCTGTGTGCTCTCCAGACAGCCCATATCCTCGGGCCACCACCACGAGGCCTCCTATTGCAGTCAGGGCCTCCTGCTCTGCAGGGCCCTTAGAAGCCTGAGGGGCTCCCTGGGGAAGCCTCCTCACTGCCTCCTTCTCCTGTTGCTCCCGTTCTGGAGTCAGCCTTGGGCTGTGCATGGGTTTCTTTAGAATACCCCAAATCACTGGCATGGCTGTCTCTTCCAACTTGGCTGATGGCACAATCCCTGCGAGGCCAGCCAGGCAGTCGTCGGTGCAAATGGGGCCGGAGCGAGAGGCAGGCAGCCAAGACGGGCAGCTCAGAGCCTGTGAGTCAGAAAGAGACCAGGGTTCACGCCTCTGATGGCTGTTTGTCCCCACGGGCTGAGCAGCCCCCTCCCAAGGTCCTGCCCCTCTCCTAGTGGGAAGTGGAGACCCGCAGCCTGCACCCGCACACCCCTCACTCTCCTTGGGCAAAGCAGGGAGTGTTTTGGCTCCCTGAGGCCAATCTGGGCCAAACCAGTCAATGCTTCTATCTTGCTGCCCACCCCGGCAGCCACGGCGGCCAGGGCCCGGTAAATATTCACACACTCTGATCTGCCCTTCAGTTTATAAGACATAATATTTGCTCTTCTATTAGGAAAATAAGCAAGAGTTATCCTTTGAGGGCTGAGTACACATGGCTGCCCTTCAGAGGCGAAGGCTGCTCTTTCTAGACCATGTGGGCTGCAAGCCCTCACCCCCACGGGACCCTGGATGGCAAACCCAGGCCCCCTGGCTGACCTCGGCTTCCCAGGATGACCACAGGGGCTGCCAGAAGGGCTGGGCCTGAGATCAAAGCTGGAAGGTAGTGGCACTGGGTCACTGGGCATTGAACAGCTGTGTCCCAGGCTGGGTGGCACAGAGCCATCTCTAGGTCCCCCGCCGTCACACGGCCTTGGTGGAGAAGCAGTTCACAGCAGAATCGCAGAGACCTTTGGTCTGGCAAAGGCCTGCATTGATCTCAGTCCTGTTTCTTGCTGGATGTGACCTTGGGCATGGGCACGGCCTCTGCAGGCCTTGGTGACTCCGCCCATCTCGAGGAGTCCAGGCCACCTGGGTCGGAGTGGGAGCTGGCTCCCACCTGCTGTGGGGTGACAGGGCCTCTCTGGCCCTGCCTGCGCGGACCTTGCTTTGGTAGCTCAGCCCTGCTGGTTTCCATGGGAACAGGAAGTGGGGCCCGAACATGTGTGCCCTCCCAGGGACCTGGCTGTGATCTAGGGTCAGGGCAGGAGGAAGGGTGCCCTGACCCCTAAATCTCTTTTGGACCTGCTGCTTCAGCCCTGAGGTTACCCATTTCTGAGGAAGAATTTTGAGACTCCTGTTCCTAGCTGTGCGTGGGTGGGGGTGGCTGCCACCCACCTTCCCACGAATGGCATCTTCCTCTCACCCTCTGAGTTCCACGTGGGTTTGCTGGGGGCCTGGGCTGGGGAAAGGCAGTTATGTGTTTGTTTTTGGGCAAGAGAAAGGATTAGGTAACCTGAGTGGGCTGGGACTCGAGGTCAATCCCGTGTCAACCATGTGCCCCAGCAGGAACCAGCGAGCGACCAGAGGACATTAACAAGGAAGCGCGCTGGCCTGGTCACACGCACAGGGTGTCGCCGGCCTGTCCCCCAGCCCTGCCTCCACCTCTCATTTCTGCTTCCTCCTTCCTTGTGAGCAGCCTGCCCGGCTCCGTCCTAACCGATCTTTCCTGCTCCCCCTCAGTCTTCCGTGCACTCTCAGGGGCCCATCTCGAGGTGCCCGGATATTCTAGGAGGGCCTGACAGGAGCTCCACCTGGCCCAGCCTGGTTTCTGGGGGAGTGGGGAGACCCGAGGAAGACGTGCATCACACAGTACCACAGAGGCAAAGGCCGCCAAGGAATGGAAGTCTCCGGGTGGGCAGCTTTGGGGGGCGCAGCATGCAGCTGGTCTTCTCAGAGCCCAAGGAGTCCAGCACAGCAGGGCCAGCTCCTCCTCCCCAACCCCAGGACCTTCTTCCAGGAAAGGCTCCCCCTGGCTCCATCCTCCTGGACACAGAGCTGCAGCGGGTGTGTGAGGGGAAGAAACAGAGCTAGGCAGAAAGGTGATGAGGAAAACCGGAAATTTAAAATCAAACTAAAGGAAAAAAAGCCCTGTAGTTTCAGGACACAAAAGTTACTTAAGCCTTTTTCCCTTCCAGGAATCTCACTCAAAATTCTGCTCCAAGGTTTGAAGACCCCAGGAGCCCCACTAGGTCCCGATTTGCACCTGTGAGCCTCACTTCCTCCCTCGGACTCCGCCCTCCCGGAAGCAGCACAGGGGCAGGCAGCGAATCTCAGCTCCACACCTGGGAAATGATTTGCACCGTACACAGCCACCAGGTGGGTGACCTGAGGGGCAGAAGGACACACCCCCCAGGTCGCTCATCCTGAAGACATCCCAAGGCCCATGAGTATACCTCCCTTGGGATCCTAAGGTGCTGCCTCTCTCAACGGCCCACACTGTTTCTCTGAGTGGTACTTTACATTTCTGCCTTTTACGTCTCTCTGGTGCTCCCGAAAATTCCTTTTTTGCACCAAAGTCAGTGAACCTGCATCTTGGTTTCATGTGTAGAATGGGTGGCAGAACCTCCCGGGACCCAGTCTGGAGACACACGTCCCACAGCCGGGGGGCGGCTCCCATCCCTGCTCAGTAGACTGATCTCAGGGCCGTCATACACCTGGGAGCAGCAGGGTCATCCAATTGCTTATTTCAGAGGGCCACAGGCTCTTGGGACCTGAGCTGATGAGGAGGTCCTGCAAGAAGTGGTGTAAGATGCTCTCTTCTTCCACCAAGGGACAACTGTGATCCTCAACCCAGACTCCACGGCTGGAACCCCAAGGGCCAGGCCCGGACAGGGCAGCCTCTACACCTGCGGTGGAGCACTGCAGACCATGTGCCTGGGAAGCAGGTACTCCAGGCCCACTTGTGCGGCACCTTCCACCTACCCTCCAGGAATGAGGAGCTGGTCAGCCGGTGCCCCTCTGGGACACACTGAGAGCCGAGGTCCTCCGGGTTCCTTTCTCATGGAGCATCGATGCAGGGAATCCCTGTGCGCCTGAGCTGTAGATAGGGGACAGATGGGGACACACGGCAGGCAGCTTCCTTCCTGTCCTCAGCCTGGCTCTGAGCACCAGGCAGGACCTGGGGGCAAGAGAATCCCAAGAGGTCAGTGGAATAAGCCTGGAAACCCATGGGGCCGAGGGGCCACGTGGGGCAACGGGACCTCAGCGTCTCCTCTTTAATAATCGCTATAGATTTCTTGTTCGGGGCGCAGTGGGCCTGTGAGGACACGTGGGCACAATCAGCGCACCTTGGGTCTGGCTGTGGCTCATCCCGTTTCTTGGAGGACTGTCAGGAGGGGAGCTGGACGTGTCCACCTCTCCCCACTCGGTGACAACTGCTCTGGAAGGGGCCCTGCAGTCTGCGTCACAGAACCAAGCAGCACAGGCCACGTGCATGAGGGGGCCAGGCTTGTGGCAACTAAACTGGGGTGGCACCTGAGTTGGGGGTTCTGGGGGACTTTTATGCCACCACATAGGGCTCTTTGTTCTCAGCCATTTAAGAATTAAAACCAGCTATGGGTCGGTCAGACATGAACTGGCCCATTTGGCCCTCAGCTGTAGGTGCCACCTCTGATGCTCCTAATGTCACCATTTTATGGGAAATGAAAGGCACGGAGTGTGAAGGGACACATCAGAGCCTGTGTGACAGTGAACCCTCGGGACCAGCACCTGGGTGACCCTCAGCCAGCCTGCTTTCACCACCACTCACTGCCTCCCGGGCGCCCTATCTTTGGGGGTCAGGCTCAGCTGGCTCTGGTTCAGTGGGTGTATCCGTCTCTGAGCCCAGACTGTGACTACAGGGAAGTGCAGACGCTGGGGCCTTGAGGGGCCTTGGTTAGCTCCCTCTGCAGATCCAGAAGGTCCCACCATCAGGAGGAAGCACATGGTGGGAGGCCAGACCTCGGTGAATTGGGATCTTGTCTCTTTATACCCTCAAAATCTCCAAGTCTCACCTCTTGGGATTCCCTGTGGCACTAAAGAGACCCTGTCATCCCAGCACTCTAGGGGCTGAGGCAGGAAGGAGCCAAGTTCTGCCCTAACCTGGGCAACTTAGTGAGTGAGATGCTGTCTGAAAACAGAAAATAGAGTTGTAGATGTGGCACAGGGCAAAGGCCCTGGACTCAGTCCCCAGGACAGAGAGAGACCGAGAGGGGTCGTGCGAGGCTATGGCCAGCCTGAGCCACTGTTTGGTGGCCTCGCTCCCTGTGAGGTGAGGGACTCAGAGACAGCATCCCCCAGTAGGAGGTCTTTCCTGGTCACAGCTGCTGTGACCCATAGCCTGGGTCTGTCCTTGGACCCTGAGGCCACCTGTCCAGGAACCATAGTGGACCCAAGAGTTGGCCGTAGCACTGGAATATTCCAAAGGCCCCAGGATGTCTCAGGCTGCCACGTGAGATAAAAATCCCCAAATGTCTCAGGACAGAAAACCGCTTTAACCATCTGTGTCCCCTGCCCATCACTACGAAAGTACAATCATCCCGTGACCATAAACGTAATGACATCCTGCTGCAGGTCACAAACCAGTCTACCAGGAGCAGAGGTCTCTTCTGGCAAGTGGCATGTGTGAGGTCATGGACAGATAGACAGACAGATGATGGGCAACCTGGAGGGGAGCACAGGGCTTGGGGTCAGAGCTGTTTTCTGTGCCCGCAAGGCCGAGGGTTCAGGGCCACCAGCGCCTCCAGAGGCCACCCGGTGGTCTCTGGAGCTGCACTGTCCTCTGATGCACAGAGGGAGGCCACCTGCGCCAGCCCAGCGGCCCTTGGGGGCGGGCCAGGCTCCTCTCATTGTCATGGCCCCAGCGGCCTTGGTGGAGATGGAACTGCGAGCAAAGGAACGAAGGCCCTAGGCGTGGCTTTCAAACTTGGCGTGGTCCCTGAGCCTGGTGCGGCCCTTGCTTGCACAATATGTGTGCACTCAGACTCATTCAGGGGCCAGACCTGGCCGTCCACGTGACGGGGGATTGAGGTAGCTGCTTGCTACAGAGCTGGAAGCCTGGGCCGGCGCCTGCCACTGCTGCTGGCCTTGTGGAATATTCTGTAAACCCCCACGTAGGCAGAAGCCTGCTGTCCTGGGCTTCGTGCACTGGGGTAAAAGGGTCATTGTTAATGTTTGCTTTTCCAAGTCTATGTTAAAGTGGTCTCACATCATTGTTTTTACTACGCACATGCAAAGCGTGTGAGCCAAATCAATTTCCGAAAGTGTGTCACATTTCCATAACTGCTAACGCAGTCCATGCACAGATGGTTTAAGATCCTTGGGGGCAATGCAGACATAAGGTTGGGGCTCTCTGGCCATGTAACTGACCTGTTGTGGGTCAACAGAATCATGGAATGTTCTGAAGCAAGAGGCCCTGGGTCACCTTAGGAACCACTCCACAGTAGCTCTCTGTGCACCAGATTCACTTCTCTCCCCTCGTCGTCTTCACCTCCCCCAAGTCTCCCCTTCCTGCCACAAACAGCCAGAGTGAGTGCACATGTGCGCACACGCACACAGACACACACACGCACACACACACACACACACACACACACTCCCTCCCTCTCTGTGCCTCTGTGAGTGGCCCCACAGCAGGGGCTGTGGGGGCAGTGCCATGAGCTCAGGACACAGGTCAGGCCCCTGCACAACTGCAGGCCCGAGCACTCTGAGAGGCTTTGCTGGAGCCAGACAGAGGGCAGGACAGACAGCAAGTACTGGGGTGCAGGGTGACCCCACAGGAGAGAGCACAGGCCTTTGGGGGAGGGGACCAACCATCTTAGTTTGCCCCACAGAAGGGATGTGGGACTTCATTCATTTCTGCCCTGACCCACATCCCCGCCCCTTTTCATCTTTATTTTGAGACAGAGTCTTGCTTAGTCACTGAATTTCCCGGGCTGGGTTAGAATTTGCAATCCTCCTGCCTCAGCTTCCTAGGTGCTGGGATTTACTGGGCCTGGGTTAGGATGTGGGACTTAATGTAGACAAGGAACCCCAGCAAATCAGGACTGTGATGGGGCGGGTTGTGGGGACTGATGGTGTGCCCCGCCCCCCAGTCCCCATCTTTCCACAGAGCTGTGGCCAACTCCTGATCTATCCCCTGCCTGGGCACCGCTGGGACACCAGGCCCTGTGAGGCCTGGGCTCGGGGCTGCTCTTCAGCGCCCAGCCATGGCACAAACAGCATCACCTCTTAGGGGCTACAGCCTGGCCCAGCCAGTCTCCTGCTGAGTGTCAGGCAGAGACTGCCAGGACCAAGTGGCCCTTGGGAAGAGCAGGGACCCAAGGCCCCTTCTCGCTGGACAAAGGCCCATGTCGGTCCTGGGAGCCACAAGCACTGTCCCGACGTTTCTTTTAACTCTAAAAATAACACAGACCCTTTGACAGAATTCAAAAATGAAGAAAGTAAAGAGACAGAAGGAACAGCCCACTCCACTGCCCAAGACGGGCGGCTCAGAGGCCTCCCAACCGCTTCCCTCAGCCCCGCCTGTCCCCGTGCAGTTTCAAGTGAGGTTCAAATGAGGTAAACACTGAGTGTGCGGCCGGGCGCAGCCACACCTTCTTAGGCTCTGCGTTGGTGCACGTGGTGTCAGGAGCCCACTGCATTAATGCTGGTTCTGTCCTGTCCCATCCTGCCCTGTCTTGTCCTGTCCCATCCAGTCCAGTCCAGTCCTGTCCTGTTCTGTCTGGTTCTGTCCTGTCCCGTCCTGTCCCTTCTGGTCCCACCCTGTCCCATCCTGTCCTGTCTTGTTCCGTCCTGTCCTGTCCTGTCCTGTCCCGCCTGGTTCCACCCTGTCCCATCCTGTCCTGTCCCGACCCTTCTGTCCTGTCCCATCCTATCCTGTCCTGTCCTGTTCTGTCCTGTCCCTTCTGGTCCCACCCTGTCCTGTCCTGTCCCATCCTGTCCTGTCCCGTCCTGTTCCATCTGCTCTGTCCTATCCCATACTGTCCCATCCTGTCCTGTCCTGTCCTGTCCCGTCCTGTCCTGTCCTGTCCCATCCTATCTGATCCTGTCCTGTCCCGCCCTGTCCCATCCTGTCCCGTCTAGACCCGCCCTGTCCTGTCCTGTCCTGTACTGTTCTGTTCTGTACTGTCCCATCCTGTCCTGTTCTGTCCTGTCCTGTCCCATCCCGCCTGGTCCTGTCCTGTCCCATCCTGTCCTTTGCAACTCTCAGCCCTGCCATGGGTATCTTCGCTAAGCATAACTCACAATGGCTGCACAGTATTCTGCACACCAACCTCTCTCCTGCTGTGTTTGCTTTGCTCTGTTCAACTGTAAAAGTCCCTCCAGGGTGGATGTTTCTGTGCACAGACATTTCCCGAATTTCAGGATCGTTCCCAGTCCCAGGGCTCAGGTAAGCGCACCCCCAGATCCACAGGGCAGAGGGTGCCGTGATCCATACTTTCTGCAGCCCTCAGTGGGTCTTGTGTGTGCCCTAGAAACAGGTGAGATGGTCATGTGAGAGACAGAGAGAGAGACAGAGAGAGAGAGAGAGAGAGAGAGAGAGAGAGAGAGAGAGAGAGAGAGAGAGAAAGGTTCAGCGTGGTTCACAGCCACAGAGGACCCAGGTCGGGATCTGTTGGCTCTGTCACAGTGAGGAGTACACTGCCTTTTGTGATGGAGGAGTGAAGGACAGAGGAGGAGGAAAGGAAGGCTTCACAGAATGCATGCCCTGGGTGCCTTTGGGATGTCCAGGTGTGGGGAAGAACGTAGTGCTTCCATGAGGGGATGGCCGTGAAGAAGGACCCGTGGAGTCATCTGTGGGAAGTTGGGTGCCCCTAGAGACGATGACCTTAAGTGAAATCAGACACAGAAGCTTACATATCAATCACATGGTTTCTCTTAGATGAGAGACCTGAAGTATAAATAAAGAGAAAATTAAAAGACAGGTGACAGGAGGCAGGGAGGAAGATCTTTACAAAAGGGAAGAGGACCTAAGGAGGAAGGAGAGAGAGGAGAGGGAAGGGACAGATAAGGACCAAGCCGTGCTGCGCCCATGGACCAGCTGCCCCAGGAATGTGACCATGATGCACTGCAAGGGTGCAGTCATAAACATAAAAATGCTAAAAATGTGCTTTTAGGGGATTAAGAGATGGTAGGGAGGACGGGGGGATAAAGGGGAGTTAGGAGGTGTCGGGAACATGGAGCAGCTCTCAGCGAGGAATGTAAACATTATGTACTGCAGACATGCACTCCCGAAAAAATCGAAAAAGAATCACATTTGAGTCATATGTTTATTTCACTAAAGATCCTGGCACTGGCCTTCCCGGCCTGGGCAGCGTGGACTACCAGCCCCCTCGTGGCCGGTGGGGGCAGACGTGCAGGGACATTGTCTGGGGCTGGTGCCTACACCTCTTATCTGCCCATAATGAGCAGAGGCTCCCAGGCGGACGTGCCTAATGACAGGCCAGCAGGGTGCCCTACACAACAGCCCAACGTCAGAGTCCTGGGCTGGCCATGGGGACCCTGTGGTCACACAGCTGCGGTGCTGGGGTGTGTACACCACACCACTCCTGGGCCAGGGAGTCCAGGGCGTCCAGGAGAGTTCAGGGAGTGCAGGAAGGAAGTCATATTCCATCAGGGACAGCCCAGCCCCTGGGGCCATGTCTCCCACCCCATTGCTGCCATGTCAAGCTCCCCATCTGCCATCCTCTGTCTTTCCTGCGCAGCTATCTGCAGCCACTTGGATCCCGCCCTTACAGGCCAGCCCATGTAGCTGCCCCCAGGAAAACCTCCCTGCACCTCAACTTTGCCCCCCTGCTGCCTTTGAGAAGGATGACCCACTCTTTAGAAGGGGCAACGAGACACGCCATCCCTCTCTCAGGGAGACCCGATCACCACCCAGCAGAACCGTGCTGCATCCGAAGGTCAGGGTCACAGGGACCTCGCTCTGCAGAAGAGCACATGGCCGGCACCACGAAGAGGCTGTTAGAGCCCGTGCGACTGCCATAGGGACCTCCAGAGGCATCTCAGTCTCCAGGAGGAAAGGGAGTTCCTCGGTGGCCTTTGCAAAGGCTGTAGGCACCTCTCCCAAGGGAGCCGGTGGGCTTCAGCTGAAGGAGCTAGGTTGGAGCAGGGCCACACTGGAGTGGAGACACAGAAAGAACTGGGACCAGCAAGTGGTGTCAGGCAGCTGCCCATTCAGAGCTGTGTGGGAACCAATTTGTTAGCATACACACACGCACGCGTGCCCCCCCCCCCAACACATACACGCGCACATGGTAAGTAGCTATGGGGGTTTTCAAGACTCAGCTCCTGCTGCAAGAAGCTTGCACAGCATGGATCGCAAGCTGGGAATGAACCTTGCTTCCTGTTTCCATCCCAGGTTCCTGCAGTAGCACCGAGCGGAGAGGAGTTTGGGTGTCAGGAACTGCCCAAGGGTCCCCAGCAACACAGGAAGAGCCAGTGTCCCCGGGGGATGAACTTCAGAGCAAGCAGAGCACAACCCCACAGGGGACTCTGGGCTCCTAACACGGAGCTATGGACGTCCACGCCTGGCATGTGACACAGCCGTGTGTTGCCTGGGTGCCCCGATCCTGTGGGCCTCTCAAGAGAGAGTAACGTGCCTGGCTCTGCCTGGTCCCCCCAGCCCTCCCTGCGACTCACCCATGCCCAGGGTCCACCCACTACCACCCGCTCCTAGCAGAGGCCACATCAGGGCCAGATCAGGGTCAATAATGTAGCCCGGCTCTGCCCAGTGACACAACTTCCTTCCGTGTCTACTTAGAGCTAGG